TAGAAACCACTGCTTTCTGTTCACTGGTGAGTTAGCCTATGAATCAGTGTTCAGCACATCAGGTTGGCAGCTGTATGGGCATTGAGTGATGTAGATGCACATCCCTATCACACACACACTAACACACACACACACCTGCATATTGACTGTCATCACCATCGCATATATATGGAGCAGACTGTTTCCTTGTTCGGCTGGTGTTAGCAGCCTGTTAGCGCTCATGCTAGGTTAATATTTAACCTGCAAACACCTGAGCTGGCACTTCAGATTTAAAGACACACGGCCTCATATCGACCCCATCACACACGATTGTGTACTCTTCTCTGGGGAAAGACATGTACAGTGTTTTTTTGTTGTGTTTTTTACCGTTAAAAGCAGATTCTATTTCAATAAACATGTTGCTTAAATGTTTTCTAAAAAGTGGCGCTTTCTCTCTCTGCATTCATTGGGTGGTTAAAGTGGGCGGGGTTACAAACAGGAAGTGGGAAGAGGTACAGTATTCCATATTCATATCCATTCCTCACATGGAGAAACAGTGTATGTTAACACACACAGGATGCATATTGTAAGTCCATTTATATTTAAAATCCTTCTCAATGAACAAACTTTATTGACAGGGTTAAAGCAGACGGTGAACAAGAAGAAATGTACGGACCTACAGCTAAACAAAACATTACAATAAGCTAATACACAGCTAATTAGGTGAAAGCAAATACATATACTATATTATGTAGACATGTAGAGCAGCAATATCAACTATTTAATTTATCAATCTACAGAAAACTATTAAGATATTGATTATGGCATTATTTTCATGCAATATAAAAAAACTTTTTAATTTTAAAAGTGAATATCTTTGTAATTTGGTCTGAGAAAAAGTGGACTTTGAGGAAGTAAGATGGACATTTGACCAACTTTTCTGACATGTTTTGATTATTGTTATTTATATACATGTATGTCTAAAAGGCTTCAAGGCTTCAANAAATCCTTCTCAATGAACAAACTTTATTGACAGATTTAAAGCAGACGGTGAACAGGAAGAAATGTACGGACCTACAGCTAAACATTACAATAAGCTAATACACAGCTAATTAGGTCAATGCAAATACACATACTGTATTATGTAGA